TTAACATTAGGAGTAATGTAAACTTTACCATCAGAGTTCATGCATTTATAACCCTTGTGAATTAAACTGTATCCTATGAAAACACATTTTGAAGAATGAAGACTAAACTTATGCGAATGGAAATCTCTTAAGTAAGGAAAACAAGCATAACCAAACACTTTAAGACTAGAATAAAGAAGTACTTTATTAAACAAAATCTAATAAGGAGAACTAAATTGCAACACAGTTGAAGGCATTCTATTAATAAAAAATATTGCAGTATCAAAAGCACACCACCATAGATGCATAGGCATAGAAGCATGGGCAACCAAAGTAAGTCTAGTCTCAACAACATGCCTATGTTTGTGTTCACTCCTACCATTTTGTTGGTGAGCACACGCACATGAATGTCTATATTGAACTCTGGCATTGGTAATATAAGAAACTAGACCTTTATATTCACCTTCTTGATCTGATTGCAAACACTTAAATTTGTATTCAAATTGTCGTTTGACTAAATGATTAAAGCGAATAAAAACAAATGCAACCTCAGCTTTTGACCTTAAGGGAAACAACCAAGTGTATCTGCTGAAGTCATCTATGAATTGAACATAACACTTAAAGCCTTCCAAGGAACTTAATGGGGTAGGTCCCTAAACATCACTATGCACAAGAGCAAGTAGTTCAATGGCTCTTGAATCAGATGTAGGAAAGTGATTTTTATGAATTTTTCCTAGAACCAATCATCACAAAAATTGACATGTGACACAAGTTTCGACTTAGAGAGTGATGTACAAGGAATAAGATGCATGATTTATGAAAAACTTTAGCATGAGGATGGCCTAATCGCTTATGCCAAATCATAGACAAGTTATCTTTAGAATGATCAACATGGCATGATAATGCTTTAGAACAATCAACATGACCTGTTAATGCTGAAGTATTAGATGAAACATTTGAGGCAGCATATATTGTATCATGAAAAATCGTAGGAGATGAATTACTAGTATAAGAATCACTAGGAACAATATGAGGAATGCATTTGGAATCAGCACATATTAAAGTATTAGCATTTGTATTAGTGCACTATGAATCATTTGCATTTGTATTAGGATACAAAGAAGTATATATTGAAAGAATGGAAACAACTTTTATTAGAAATTATTTGTGTATAATTATTGGCATTACAATTATTAGGGACACAATTTGCAATATCTATATTATCAACCACTAAACTAGGATAGGAAGAACAATGTGAATCATAATTATTAGAGACAACATTTTTGGATGTAATACAAGGAGTTTTACATGGAATATTGATAGGACACTTGGTGTTTATTGTAGTGACAAAGGACGTAGAGATAAAGGAGTCAGATGGTACAGAAAAGGCAGATGTTACTGAACTGGAATGAGGCTATGAAGAAAGAGCAAAATTTAGATTTAACTTATACAACCCAACTTTAAGCTCTCCCTGCAGTAGAACTGTGCTAGTGATTTTGTCCTTAACCACACAACAATTAGAAGAAAACTCAACCACAACATTATTATCCTTGGTAAATTTGGAACTACTAAGCAATTTTTTTTTTAATTCTAGGACACATAAAACATTTTTCAAGTAAAGGCATTTAGATTGCAAAGTGCTTGGTAAATAAGTAAGGCCAACATGAGAAATGTCAAGATACTCACCACTACCAACTTGAAGTTGCTCAGCTCCATCATAGCTCCTACTAAGATTGAGATGAGCCATGTTTGTAGTGACATGATCCATTGCTTCTGAGTCCAAATACCAGGCAGGATCATGAGCTATAACAGATGAACTTGAGATAGAAGAGCCAGGGCTGGCAAATCCAAGTAAGTATGAAGGAGTAGCAAAGTAAGCTTGTGAAGGTCCACAATTATGTTGACTAGGAACTGTGAAACCAGAATTTGAGCCAGCACTAGAGTTGGCATATATTTGCTGCTGTTATTATGAATGACTCAAGTTTTGTTTTGGTTGGGAAACTGCATAAGGTGTATTGATCTAATTTAGATTCTGAAATTGTGGCCCACTAAACTGATTGTGTGGTCGATGAGAGGTATAAAAGTGACCAGGATTTCCAATATGTCCTCCTGAATAAGGAATTTGTCCACCTGAATAACTAGGAACACCATTGTATGATGAGTTGTATCGATGGTAGCATTGGATAGCCGTGTGACTAACCTTGCTACACACTTGGCAAACTGGTTTTCCTCTGTTATTACGTCTATCTTTGTCTCTACCAAAACTATTAAATCCAGGAGAATTAGACCCAGGAAATGGAACTCTATATTGTCCTATACGAGTTGAAGAGGGATAAGAACCAGTATTTAGAGCTGAAGAAGGATAAGCACCAGTGTTTAGGGAAACTCCAATGCTAGAACCAGGAACTACAGGAGGATAATGTTGAGGTGTTGACATGTATTGAGGTACAGTATTGTGAGGAAACACAATAGGAGTGGAGGGAACTTGAATTGACATATTTGGTACTTGGGAAAGGTTATTCGAAGACATTGGATAACTAGATGAAGTAGGATAAGGTGGTTGATTTCTTGGATTATTAACTATAGCAACATGAACAGAACTATTTGAGAAATCAGGAGAGTTTAATTTCTCAATTCTCATCTTATATTTCTAAAGAAGGTACTGAGCCTCTTGACGCGAAATTGAATCAAATTTAGATTCAATCCGAGAAGTCAAGTTCACAATAACAACATCAAATTCAGGGCCAAGACCATCAAGTATTAATTGCAACAAATCCTCATCTGAAATCAACTGTCCACTGGCTGATAATTTTCAGCTATACTCTTCATCTTCTGGACATATTCACTAACTAATAGATTGACTTTCTGAGTGTTTTGTAACAAATTTTTAAGATGCAGTGCTCTTGCTTTAGAATCATTAAGAAATTCATGTTCAAGAGTGAGCCAAATGGCTACTGAGGATTGACATTTAGCCACATAATTAAACATGCACTCAGATATCGAAGCTAATAACCAAGTAACTAAAAACTTATCAGTCCTTTTCCAAGCAACATAAGCGGGATTCACTTGATCTTTTGCCCTAATTTTCCTTATTTTAAAGTAATCTCACTATCAACATCAATTAAAGGAGGAAAGCAAGGGATTAAACCTGTCAAGTGTTCTTCCAATTCATGAGCTCCTACAGTTGATAACACCTGAGATTTCCGGAAATGGTAGTTGTCTTTGTAATTATCTCTTGTCAGCTTGGGCGTAATCAGGGGCAGATCCAGCATACTTGAGAGTAGGCCTGGGCCTACCCTCAGATTTTGAAAAAAATTTGCCAATATTTATAATTAATGATTTTTATATCAAAAAGGTACAATACATATGGCCCACAAGCCACAATCAAACTAAAACTAAAAGCTAATATGGTAATGGCGTAATGCAGAGGCTTACCCATCATAAATATTACGGGGCCCACTAGTTATTAGTATAAATATATTATACATATGCCATATGCCGCCAATCTCTATAAAATCACAATTTTTTATCCCTAATTTTATTAGGGAGTGTGCCTCTCTTTCTCTTTGTCTTATTGGCTCGGTTGAAGTTATAACTTTTGAAGGCTATTTTCTGCTTTATTAGATTTAGGTATGTATAATACTTATTTTAATTTAGTTTATTCTAGGGTTAAATCATTTTTTTTTTTATGGAGGTTTTTTATTCTGATGAAAAAAAGTATAAATCTTGTGAGTTTGTTTTGTGTTTGTTTGATTTTGTAATTGGTTGAATATTAATTTGTGATTTTAGATATCACAAATACATTTATAAAATTAATTTTTTTATATAATTAGAGGATAACTTGATTTGCACCAATCATTAATATATTAATAATGATATTTTTATTATTTTAGAATGTGATTAGTTGACTAAGTATGCTCTAATACTAATTAAATTAAATCTAGTTGATCTATACTAATAATTTAAATAAGTCAAAAAATTGATTAGCAAATTATATAAGTTTTTAAATTTCACTAAAATGATTTTAAATATAAGAAAATTAACACAATAAAATGATTAATTAATTGCTAAAATAATATTTTAATTAGATCTAATTGTTACATCTAAAAACGTGATAAGTCAGTCCTTGTAATTTTATTAATTAAAATTTCATCGGTCTTTCTTTGCCTGTATCATATTATCGTTTTTTTATTTGATAGCTATGATATCCAATTATTTTAAGAGATTAAAGAAAATTCTAGCAGAAATTGTTGGTGGAGACTCTATTGATATTGAGGTTAATCAAATCCCATTAGAAGAAGAAGCCCCACATCAACAACAACAACACCAAGTAAAAGAAGCTCAACCTTCGATCGGGATGTTCAATTTAGATGAGCTTAAAACTGATCCAGGATTGAGGATACCAATTAACGAGATTTGTTGTATTGACAAGCAAAAAGAGAAAGTTCGAAGAGCATACTTGTTGAAAGGTCTTTGCCAACCTAAAGATCATAACTTTCCTTTCACTCTTTTCAGAGATAAAAAAACGTAGGTTTACAATAGAGTGGTAAAAAGAAGGTCCAAGTTGGATGGAATATAGTGTGGCAAAAGATTGCATCTTTTGTTTAAATTGTTATCTTTTCAAAACTGATTATAGTGACCAAGCAGGTGGTGAAGTTTTTGTGAGTAAGGGATTTAATAATTGGAAAGATAAAGCGAAAGTGAAAAAACATGTTGGAGATCATTCTAGTACTCATAACCAATGTCATGCTAAGTGTGTTCATTTGATAAACCAAAGGCAACACATCGATGTAAATCTTGCTTGCGTGTAGAAAAAGGCTAAATTGGACTATCGCATTTGCTTGAATGCATCAATTGATTGCATTAGATTTCTTTTACATCAATGATTGGCATTTTGTGGTCATGACGAGTCGATTGAATCTGAAAATCAAGGTAACTTTATGGAACTATTGAAGTTTCTATCCAATCATAATGACGACATAAAAAAAGTTGTGCTGGAAAATGCTCCGAAAAACCATCAAATGACGGCCCCCAACATCCAAAGGGAATTAACTAGTGTTTGTGCTCATTTGATGACCAAGAAAATTATTGCAGAAATTGTGAAAGATAAACAACCATTCTCTTTACTAGTTGATGAATCTCGTGATGAAGCAGTGAAAGAACAAATGGCTATTGTTTTTCGCTATGTGGACAACATAGGTTATGTTATTGAACGTTTTATCGGGGTTGTGCATGTTAAGAATTCTTCTGCAAAGTCTTTGAAAATTGCAATAGATGCTTTTTTTGTAAAGCATGGATTGAGTTTGACAAGTTTACGGGGGCAAGGTTACGATGCAGCAAGCAATATGAGAGTGAGTTCAATGGTTTGAAGACTTTGATATTGAGAGAAAATAAACCAGCTTTCTACATTCATTGTTTCTCTCATCAACTCCAACTGGCGCTGGTCAAAGGTGTAAGTAACCATTCGGCATTAGGTGAATTTTTTCAATCTCTTTCTATGTTATCAAACACTATAGCGGCATCTTGTAAGCGCAGAGATCTTCTACGTGATAAACAATATGAAAATGTGATAACGTTGATTTCTAACGGTGATCTTCATATGGGACGAGGTTTGAATCAAGAATGCACTATTAAACGACCAGGAGATACACGTTGGGGTTCACACATAGGGACAATTCATAGTGTCATAAATTTATTTTCTTCTATTGTTGATGTGCTAAAAGTGATTGAGATTGAAGGAGAAGATAAGCAAAACAAAAGTCAAGCAAGGAGTTTATTACGAATCATGGAGAATTTTGAATTCGTCTTTTTGTTATTCTTAATGAAAAGAGTATTGGGAATCACAAAATGAACTGTCACAAGCATTACAAGGAAAAGACCAGGATCTTCTTAATGCCATACAATTTGTACAAATTTCGAAGCGTCGATTGCATAAAATGAGAAATGAAGACACTTGCTTCGACATATTGTTAAAAAAAGCTTCTGATATGTGCAAAGATAATGACATACCAATCTTGGAGAATATGGAAGATAACTTTGCGAGGACAAAACAGGGGATTGCGCCAATTACAAATAAACATCATTTTAAGGTGGAATTGATGTATACAATTTTGGATGACATTCAAGAAGAACTCAATAATCGTTTTGATGAAGTAAATATGAGGTTGCTTCAATGTATGTCATCTCTTGATCTAGGTAACTCTTTTATTGCATTTAACAAAGATAGATTACTTGAATTTGCAAAGTTCTATCCTACCAATTTTCCTCAACATGATATTTGGTTGCTCGATGATAAACTTGAAAACTATTATGAGGATGTTAACACCAATGCCAATTTCACTCATGTCAAAGGGATTGCCGACCTTGCTAAAAAAATGGTTGAGTTTAAGAAGGATGTTGCTTACAACAAAGTTTTCTTGCTTATTAAATTAGCATTGGTTTTGCCTGTGGCTATTGCAACAATTGAAGGGGTGTTCTCTGCAATGAATCTTGTGAAAAATAGTTTGCGTAATCGAATGGGAGACGACTGGATGAACAATTGCTTGGTGGTTTACATTGAAAAGGAAGTTTTTGCTACAATTGAAAATGGAGATATCATTGAACACTTTCAGAATATATCGAAGCAGAAAATCGTGTTAAATTGAAGTTCTTTAGGTATACCATTCTAACTTGCTTTCATATTTAAACAATCAATTTTCATATATTTAAATCTTCCAGTGTACCATTCTAACTTTATTTTTTGGTCAATACGCAGAGGATGTGTGGATCTTTAATCTAGATGGTTGAGTTTTGATATTAACGTTTGGATTTGGAGTTATACAACATGAGGTTTGACTGCTTCTCTGGTGATTTTAATCTATCTCTTTGTAAACTTTTATTTATTTTACTTGTGTTAGAGTTGTGATTGACCTCTAAATTTGTGTGGAATATTTTTGGTGGATTGTGGTTGCTATAAACTCTTTTGCTTAAGGTTTGGTGGTTTTTTAAAAGTTTTCACTAGTTGTTTGGCAAACAATAGTGGAGCCGTGGAGGCCCCCCGAGCAAAAATCTTGGCTCCGCCACTGGGCGTAATGACTTGAAGACTTGAAGGGAATGCTGAGGTAAAAGAATTTGGCGAGCTATGGAGTACGTTGGCCTTTGATTTTCCTGTCTGACCATAATCAGAAGACTTTGCCATTGACGTTAGTCAATGACTCTGATATCATGCAAACCTTAAAGAAAATATTGAAAGAAAATTCTAGATTAGCAATCGAAAGAATGAATAATGTGTTGGCTCAACTGAACTGATTACAGTAAGGAGTTTACTTTGCGTTTAAAGTAAAACATAGCAGATGTTAGTCAATGACTAATTGACTTAATAACAAAACATAGTGAAGATCAAAACGACTTCACTTAGCACAATTAAACGTAACCCTATAGTTTTACAATTTTACATTTTGGTTAACATTCCCTCTTAAACTAATCTGAGGCTTTCTTCCATAACCTTTCTTTATTGCTTGGTTCACATATATAACCAAAATTAAACACTGGTATTATCATTAAACACTAGCATTATCAAATCAACACAAAAATTATCAAAACACCAAAAAATTAATAACCATAGGGTTTTATTTTAATAAATTTATCTCTCAAATGTAAGGGGTTTCACAATGCCAACGATTTGAAGAGGGTTTCATACCAATTTGAAGAGTCCTTCTTCAATTTGATGAGTTTTACACCGAATTACTGTTTTTCAACTATGGGGCTTTGATTTAGGGTTCAACATGCTATGGGTTTTAGGGATTTTAAGCAAAAGCATGATGAAACATAAACATAAAATAATAATAATAATAAAAAAAAAAGCAATCGATTTTGAATGATCTTGAACGGATTACATGATTTTTGTGAAGAGATTAGGGATTTTGTTTGAGAAAAAAATAAGAGATTAATTATTTATTAATTATGTTATAATTTAGATTACATCATATCAATAATTAAGAATATATATTATAAATTTTTGTTAAAAGTTTATAATATAATTAATGAAAAAAAATCTTCATTCAAGTCGTATTTTTTTCAAAAGATTAAAAGAAACTATTTGTCGACAGGAGAACTATTTGCGGCAACACATAAAAGCAGTGTTTGCGGCAACAAATAGAACCATAAATTTGTGACAAATTTTTATAATTTTCACCAAAGTCATAAGTGAATCCACTTGTATTTAACAAGTTTCAAATCCTTATTAATTCATTCTACATATAAAGAAACATTAAGAAGTACAAAAACACTGTTATTTTAAGTCATCATCACAACTGAATTCCCTTATTGTCTCCGAAAACAATAGCTGGTGCTTGACATAAATGACATCCAATTAAGTCCCCTGAAACAGGGCTTTTTTTAAGAGCATGAACAATAGAAATCCAAACCAAGTTTATCATAATTTATTGGCTTCAAAATAAAAGCAAAAACCTCAGACCGCACAAATTGTTTTGTCAATCTGTGCAATTTTGGTACAATTTTGTGAAGCGACATGCCCACATTCAGAAACCAAAAAAGAAAATGTTGGCTCTCAATTGATTGCAGGATCTTTGCCCAGGGGCCTCCATGGCTCCACCATTGTTTGTCAAACAACTAGTAAAAAATTTTAAAAAATCACCAAACCTTAAGCAAAGAAAATAATATAATATCAATAATTTGAAAGAAAATAATGTTACAATACAATACTTTACCACTTGAATAAATATATGAGAAACAAAACCTTGAGCAAATTATGTTGAAAATAACATTCAATTCAGGAGGAAATATAGGAAAATTTCTACGTGGAAAAATCTCTTCAATTAAAGAGAGCAAAAGACCATGGGAATCTAACGATCCACTTAAATCCAATATAATTAAAAGAGTTTACAACAATCACAATCCACCGAAAATGTTCTACACAAATTTCTTATTTCTCTTTATTTTTTTTTCTTTCAAAGATTATAATATAAATTTTTATGACTTTGATCAGGTCTAGCCTAAGCAAAAGTCAACCAAAACTTAAATTAAGTCAATATTGCCTTGACTTTTAATATGAATTAATAAAAAAAGGGAAAATTTTATTAGTATAAACATAGATAATAACTCAAAATTCTTTAATAATTTTGAGCAGCTAAACGGTGACGTTTGAAATATAGGAAAGTGGTGGGTGAAGGGTGAATGATAACGTTCAGTAAAATATAGTTAAGGTTTAATTTGGGAAGCGGGAACATTCCTAAACATAAAACACAAAACAAACTCATAAGATTCATGCCTTTTTCCATTAAAAGAATAAAAATCCTCCAAAAAATAAGCATGATTCAACCCTAAAATAAACCAAAATGAAATGAGCAATACACATACCTAAAATTGAGAAAGCAGAAAACGAAGCTAATTGTGGCACCTTGATGAGTGAAAGCTTCAACAATTTTAGTCTGTAGAAGTTTTAAAATGAATAACATAGAGAAAGTGAAAGAGAGAATGAGAGAAATAAAGAATTTTAGGGATAAAATCATAAAAAACATATGCACATAAAAAATAGTGGAGAGAATTTTAAACTTTTAATATGATGTAGACATGGAATATATATATTAATAGCAAGTTTTTTATAAGTCTGATATATGTATGATATTTCTCATTTTTTTTTTAAATATGAAGATAAGCCTATATGTATATATATTATGGCTTCATTTGGCTCACTTTTGGGAATACTACTACTAGTATTCCCAATAAAGTTAAACAATAAAATTACAAAAACTTACAATATTATTCAACTTTTTTTAAACCCCCTAAATTTATTAATTTAATTAATACCTCTAAATTTTTTTTAAAAATTGCAAAAACACCCCGCAACTAACATTTATCAGATTCCGACCACAATTGTCGAAAGATGGCCGGAATCTGGTATAATAGCGCACTACCGACTGAATCTGATCGGTAGTGCGCTGATCTAGCTTTTTCTGGTCAGATCCATGGTGGATCTGGCCGAAAAATGCCAGATCTTTCGCCATAGCCAGTCATCAACGACGACTAACATATGGTCGTCGTTGACATCAACGACATCAACGACGGTCGTATCTTTGGCCGTCGTTGACGAGCAAAGGCGGCCAGATCTGACCGAAAAAAGCCATATCGACGCACGACTGGCAAGATCCAACCGGTCATGCACCGATACGGTGACTCCGGCCACCATTGCCGTCCCTATTTAATGGGTGGGTTGGGGGTATTTTTGTTAACTTTTAATGTTTTATTATAGGAGTGTTTAGTAAATAAACAAACATAGGGGGTATTTTTATTAATTTTTAAATCCTACATCATAATACCTGCCCAATTCAACTTTTTTTAACTTTTTTCAGAAAACTTTTCTAAAAAGTGTAAAAAAGTGAACCAAACAGAGCCTATAATATTAATAGATTTTTTTATAAGCTTATATAAATAAATTTTTTTTTTTAAATGTGAGGCCTACCCTCCAAGGGGCTGGGTCCGCCCCTGGCATTATATATATATACACCTTAACTATTCTCCTGGGGCCTGAAGTTAATGGTCAGGTAAGCCTCCAATGGCTACCTGGGAGTATCCAGACCAGCTTGCACACACCTCGACTATTCTCTCGGGATCTTGAAGTTAACGGTCAGGTAAGTCTTCAGTAGCCATCCCTTATTAATAGTCGTAGGGATTCGAACTCAGGAGCTAAGATACAACTATATTAATTTGTCATGTATTTGATTTGGCTACATCATGATATATCTAGAAGAGTAACTTGTAGATTCGCAACAATTAGTGGTATGAACAAGCTCTTTATTGCAATATTCCTTGAATTAAAAAGTCACTTTAATATTTTGTATATTTAAGTTTTTTGAAGTTGCGTATATATAGATCAATTGAAGCTAATTAATTTGGTCTTGTAGTATTAGAATTGTTTTTCATGTCAATTTGGAGAGAAATTAAGATTGACCTGAGACTTGTGTGTATAAATAATCAAACAGTTCATGTACACATACTGATGTGACATGAATTATTGCATTAATAATCTAGTTTGTATATATAGTCAGTTTATAAGTATATTATTGTTAGGGTCAAAAATCGTCTTGGGCCTGACGAGGCCCAATAACGAAATAAACATGTCATAGCCCAAGGTCTCAGCCCAATCCTGATTGGACCCACACTTAAAATCACCCTGTAAACTATCCACTCTATGAGTTTGACTATCCTACAAGTTAAGCTGAACTGAGTTCTGGCCCATTAGCCTACAATAGTCCATAAATAGGAAATCAGAATCATATTTTATTTTCCTTTCTACGGAGATTCTGAATCTCCCTCAAACTAATTAAACTTAATCTGATAAAGGCAAGAAATGATATTTCTTTCTTGATAGGGATTATCTCCCAAAATAGGACTTAGTGTCCTAATAGGATTCCAACCCCTTGGGTTCACTATATAAACAAAGGTTTTCTCTCTCATAAAATGAGGAATCTCCCATAGTCAATCTAGACTACTTAAAACCATCTATTTGTTCCTAAAGTTCTTGTTCTCAAGAACCCGATGCCTCTGCCGTAGTCCTAGCCTCCGACAAGACTCCTGATAATCCTTTTTCTCCTTAATTCTCATCAAATAATTTCTTTCAGTCTTGTTGACTTGAGCGTCGAAGTGC